CCATATCTCTGAGTTTTGAGTGGGCGCATGTCGCCAGTATGCTGCGTAACTGTTTACATGTGTGAAAAGTGTGCTTGAAAACGAGTCTGATTGCATGTCAACGTTCTGAATCGCGCTGGATGTCCCTGTGTTTGTCTCGTCAATACTTTTTTCGGTCTTGGAGGATCCTGCATTCACCTTCCCTGCAATGTCCGAGAGCATCCGCATTACATCTTCAAGCTTGACGGAGCTGGCCTCCTCCTGATTTGCCACTATCTGCTCTCCTTCAATCTTCGCCATCTGAGGTTTGGCCTTCGCTTCGTCATCGGAGGAGACTAGGATACTTGGTTGGCGGATCTTCACGCCGCCGCTCCTAGATCTTGATCGTGACTTCCTGCCCTCAGCAGCAGGTGATTCGGTCCCCACGATCCGCTTACATTTCTCGTTACTCCCAGCGTCCCCTTTAGCATTGTTCGCCTCTAGTTCCGCCATCGTCTGGATCATCCGCTCATGCTCCATGTCCGCCACCATCGCCTTCCTATCAACCACATCCAGCTTGTCTGAAATCCTTTTTCATGCAGCTCCGAAGTTGTTACTGAGCCACGTCTTCAGGTTCTGTTCTCCATCTTCAGTCTTCTTCGCTCGTGTCGCCTTCTTCGTTGCGGCCGCGCGCTCTTGCTGCTCTCTCCTGGGTCGTCCTTCTTCCTCGCATCTTCTGCATCTCGCATCTTCCATCTTTCAATCAGTTCCAGGTGCTCACGGGTGAACCAGGCACGGTTCCCTGGTCCCGGGAATGAATTCGTGGCAGGCTCCCTCCGTTGTGGCGGTGGCCCATAGTTCTGCGGGTAGCTCCACGTAGCAGCAGGAGGAGGTTGAATAGGTTGAGGAGGAGGAGGAGGAGTGGTGACCCATCCGTACAGAGAATACGAAGGGTAGCCAACCGGTGGTGCGGCAATCGGAACCACCGGAGGTGGATTCGCTGATTGGCCGACCGCACCAGTCGCAGCAGGAGGGGTAGCCTAGTAATCCATCCAGTAGCGATTACAGGCAGACCACCTGCCTCTACTTCTTCCATGACCACGCCCGCTTCCACGAGCGTACATACGTCGCCGATCGCTGCCCTGCCCACCGATGTGAACCGCACGCCGATCAGATTCCGTATGCAACTTGCCGTAGCCGTACCGTAGTATGAGCACTTGCACACCTCCAAAGCAGATGCTCTCCTCGCCAGGGAAGAGAGCAGAAAATAACACTATCAATACGTAATTACTAATTATCAAATGATACATGTAGGAGTCAAAAAATTAGAAGGTAGAAGAGTGCACGTGCGCAGTCCTAGTACACCATAGCATAATAGCGAGTGTGTACACTTGGACAATCGGCACGGCACCAAGCGAGCGAGATCAGGCACAACCGCAAGATCGTTCGCTTGGCTCAACGAGAGATTAACTCAAAGAGAACAATGCAGTGGAGATTTAATGTCGCAGCATAACTGCATCGTAACACAGCATGGAAAGAGAACTCATGCTCCAGACCTTCTTCCCCTATGCTACTCAGTCTGAACTGCGAGGCGTCCGCTCGCCAAATAAATACTACTTTTTACTCCATATGACTCCGCCTCTGATCCTTAGTACCAGTCCCTAGTACCATCCGATCGTCTCTCGCACCTGCGGGAACCGAAAAACATTTTTAACACGCTGAAAAAAACTAGGACGAGTCCTGACCTAGAGTCATCTGCATGGTGCAATCCATTCAAAAAGGACAATTTTCCTGCGGTGCAGAAATAATAATAACACAAAAAATATAATAACAAAAAACAGTCCGAAAAAACACATTGAGAAAAGCACTCACTAGGATACAACTCCGACAAGTGCTTACGGTGCAGGCAATCCCCCGCTCGGATCTGCCTCGGGTCGCCGGTTCCATGGTCTTTTGTCGTCAGTCGCTTGGTCCTGTTTGTCGCTTGAGCCCTGCTGAATTCCTGCCGGATGCAGGCCTTTGATTCCATTGTCTGGCTTCGCAGCGCGAGTCTTCATTTTCCTCACACTTGGAAAGAGGGTACCTACCCGTCATGTTCCCTATACCAATTAACGAGCCTTTCAACCAAATCCATCAAAACAGGCCGTGGGGATGTGGTACCAGAGCCAAGTCAAGCCCCAGGAAGCAGAGGCTGGGTTGAGTTGAAGCTCAGTCCAAGACAATCTAAGGACTGGCCAGCCTCCTCATTCGGGCAGATTGCTCATTTGCATGAAGTGTGGAAGTGATGGTGCACTTGTGCGCTATTGTGAGGGGCGGAGCGCTGAGCCCGGGAGCTGCACTGCTAGAGGGAGAGAGAGGGAGCAGCCATAGCTGCCCCAGCGCTGGCAGAGGAAAGGCAGCCATAACTACGCCAGTGCTTAGTAGTTAGTGGTAGGCCTTAGAGGGGTTAGTAGAGTTAGCAGTGGGTGTATTCAGAGTTGGCCCTTGAGTAGCTGAGGCTGTGAGTGCATACAAGTAGGGAGAGAAGACGCAGGGAGGTAGTACACAAAGAGAAGACTGAGTGAGAAGAGAGAAGGGCAGTGAGAGAGATACTCACTTGAATGAAGATACTGGTTACTTGGATCTGCGCTGTTGAGCGCTTGTGACCGAAACTCTTAATTGCTCATATGATAAATTGTTCGAATTTCTAAGCTGCGCTTACGTGGTCTTCGACTCTCTGGCCTCCAGTGTGGACTCCGTGTGATCTCATTTGTGCATTGTGTGTGATTGTGTGCGCTCATTGGTGGTGAACTGGGAGGTTCATAGCACAGGGCATTGCAGTAATTCGTCCATGGTGACTTTTAATGCCGACACAGTCTTCCACTTTCGATCGGCTATGTTGAAGATCAAGTGCTCAGTCTGTCTAGCTAAATTCTTGTCCTCAAATCAAATTTTCAAGGCCAGGAAGAAATCTTGAATATGGGTCCGCTGGGACTACTCAACCATTGATGCACAACCTTCCTCCATCAAGGAGAGAGCAAAATTTGCAGTGTCTCCCCAGAGCACGAACTGGCCATCAAGACACGATCCCAGTAAGGTATCAGTTGTCCGTAGAGGTAAGTGCCCATGTGTGCCTCCCACTGGTAGAGGCTTTCTTCTCTTTTCCCAGTGTAGGTCCAGGGAATCTTCACTTTCATCTTTTCCCTCTTCTCCCCTCTTTCAGATGACCTTTCTTCTCCCTTCAACTCTCCTTCCTTTTTAGGGTCTTTGATATCACCATCATCGTCTCCTCCACCATCTCCACCTCCACGACCACTTCCTGCCTTCAGCGTGGCGACGGTGTCTACCAACTTTGAGGTAAATATACCTTCTAACTGGTGACCATATCCCTCAACACGTTCATCGATTCAATGGGCAGAGACACTCAAATAATTGTTCGAGGTGCTTTTGAATTCGTGATTATGCTGTTCGAGACGAGCAATCGATTTATTTATAGCGGCTAGCTCTTGGTTAGTGTGCAGTACGGCTTTGACCACGAGGGTACGATCATCCTCCCATTCCCCTTCACGGCCTGTTTGTTCCTTCAGCTGGCGTTCAATCTCTTCACCTTCAACTTTTAATCTCCTCTTCTCCTCCAGCTCAGCCCTCTTCTTTACCAGGAGTCGCTCTCGCAACTCCTGTTCCCTCTTGCGTCAACAGCTCCTTTTCTGCTTCATCCTCTGCCGCCTCCAGCTTCGTTGTAAGCTCAGCCCTCTCGGCCTTTGACTCTTCTGCCCATTCATCGTTTCTGAATCCAAACTTCTCCATCCACATCTGGGTATCAACAGGGTAGAAGTGGAGTTGACTAGATTCCCCCCCCTCAGTTCTTTCTCCTCCTCCTCTCTGCCTGGGATCCTCCAGTCTCCCTTCGTCTTGTTCTTCTTCCTCCTCCTCCTCTTCTTCTTCCTCTACCATTTCCACCTTTTGTTTTTGTTTTTCCAGAATCTTCAACTTCTCCTCCAGTTCCTTCCTCTCTTTCTCCAATCTCTCCTTCTCTTCCTCTTCTTCTTTCTCTTCTCCTCTTTCTTCTCCTCCTTCCTCGCGCTTCCCAATCAATTTCCTATCAATTTCGGCCTGTTCTGCAGTGGAGTAGGGTTGCGTTGACCTACCGGACCGACTCACCACATGCATGCCGAGGGTCTGGGCGAACCCCAGAGGGAACAAGAATCGAAGGAGGGGGCCCCATATAGCGGACAGGGCCAAAAATCCAAACTTTGGGTAGTCATCCATGACGAGCGATGGCACAGTAAACTGGACTCCGCCCCCTCACCACGTAGACCCACACCTCAACACTTAACAGTCCTCAACACTCGTACTAATCCTAACCTAAATCAAGGTTTGACACTTTACTTCCCTCCCCACATCTGTCGCTACAGCTCTCTTCCAATCCGGTGGGCAACCGACAGTTTAAGGTCAGCCAGCACAGACCTCAGGAATTAAGTTTAGATCAATCTTTATCTGCTGAAATACAGGATGCTTCGAAAAAACAAGGATTTGCTAGAAAAAAAACAGATGATCTTAACGATGCAAACAGGACGTCCTACCCACCATATGAAGATTGCTCTCAAGACTTAGACTGGTCCCTCACTAATTGCAGCGGTTTTCGGGTATAACTACCACCAGCGACTCTGCCAGCCGGTTAGTACTGGTCCTTGGGGGGTCTCCCTGCCGTCCTCAACCAATGGACCTTACATCTCACCCCTACTTTACCCGTGCATTATACAGCTGGCGAACCCTACTGACCTCTACAACTCACTGTGTCTCTTAGAGTCTCCGGTCGCATGCCGGTCAGTACTGGTCATTGGGCATAGTCGGGTTGTTTTACGAGCGTCCGCCGCTCCGTGCACGTGCTCTCGAGTTGCTACCCTAGACCGACCTACATCCCACACGAAACTTTCCCGCTCACGGGATTAGGGTCCCACTGGGTACCTATGCCCCCAGTTAGGCCGGCAACCCTAACCACTTCCCCCACAAGAGGGAGGAGCCTTTCCTCCCAGAGATATCGGCCTCTGACTTCAAACAACAGGCAGATCAACTATGACTTGCTGACTCGAATTGACATGATGACATCAACAGAAATTCGACTTTGCAGCAGAGGTCACCAAGATAGTATGTGCGAAGGTACCATACACAACCAAATTCAAATTGCATAGATTGACAAGGCCAGGGCAGCGAAGCACTATACTTCTTGAATGTTCCATTGATGAAGCTCCTCGAACGCAGGTCAGTCTTCTTCTTGCTCCTTGCGATGCCCTTTCTACTCCGGCCCTCCACTCGTCAATTTTTTTTTTTTTTTTTCTCCACCCGCCGGCCTTCCTCCTTGCCAGCGTCTCAAACCCGAGCAGATGCAGCGGGAACCAGCTCCGATACCACTGAAATGATCCAAATACCCGTGAAGTTTAACTTGCATACACCAACGAACATCCACATGAGAGTTCGCACATGAGAAGCCAAACCGAGATACAATCCACACTCGAAGATGCTGTCACCAATATTATTGCCAATATACAAGAACGTTTGTCACTAGCGGCTGTGCCGCACACACACACACAGTGGGTCTCAAACAGGGGGCAGCAATGGCTTCCCCCTTCTCTCTCTCTCTCTCTCTCTCTCTCTCTCTCTCTCTCTCTCTCTCTCTCTCTCTCTCTCTCTCTCTCTCTCTCTCTCCCTCTCTCTCTCTCTCTCTCTCTCTCTCTCTCTCTCTCTCTCTCGTCTGTCTCTCTCTCTCTACCCTGGATCGTTAACCTGGATACACCCACTCAGGTATCGTACACCTTGGCGCTCTACGTCTAACCTAGCTATGGACTATCCCTCAGGCGCCCACTTCTTCCTCAGGCGCACAGTGCCCAAGTTGCCGTAACACACAAGCAGCAGCAGCGCTTCCGCATCTCGCAACTGAACAAGTGACGAGTCGCCACACTGTAGCAGCTAAATATAGGACTTGTCTTCGCTTCACTTGGCTTTGCTTGGCCTGCTTCAGACCGGTACCGGTCAGCTGTGGCCTGTTTGCTGCAAATACTTTGTCGGTCTGGTACCTTCCGGACTTTCCTGGGACATGCTGCAAAATTGGACTTGGGGACTGTCGGGCTGGACTGGACACTTCTGGACTTTTCTTGGCGGGTACCGGGCAGACACCTACCGACCTACGACGCTTCGGTACCGACAGCTACAGACCTACGACGCTTCGACCTTAGAGCCCTACGGCCTACTCTACGGACGGCCCTGGGACTTGGGACTTGTCAGGACCTTGGGACCGGACTGGGTGTCTGCAGCATGAATCCTTTCAGTACATTATCTCCGTGTACATTGTTGCATGCACTATGTTTATAACCTGGGGGAGGTCAGTGAAACAGTGTAGTGACATGACACAATAAACCCTTACTCTTTTCTCCTTTTTCTTTCATTCTTCTAGAGCAGTGTGTGCTCGAGGCACAAATTCTTAAACAGAACGTGTGATTGAGACAAACAACGGTGAAGAAGGGAACTCAGAAAAGAATCCAAAGACTCGTTGCAGTTTGGCTCAACCACGCACTCCACAGTGTGCAACAGGCAGTGTGCACATGCACGTGATGGCCACCAGGAGAGGGAAGAACTGTGTGCTAGAGAAACGGGCAACCATATCTTCTAAAAAGGAGTGAAGAAAATATAGTGAAAAGCCACATGCACACATGGGACAACATTAGAATAAAGACTTCGAATGGAAACGCGTCCATGTGAGTGGAAGCTTAGCGCGCGCGCGCACACACACA